TATACGTCAATATCGTGCGAACACCTCGAGCGTTTTATTTATATTTTTTTCTTAATTTTAAAATGGTTTGCTATGGGAAATCATGTGTATTATTGTACACGATTTTCGGGCAACCGGCACACGCTTTTATTTGTGATACATATTCAATAGAAGATTTCTTACTGAACAGCTCACGCCGTTGCGAATTAGTCTGAACGCACCGGGCAGAGTTCATAGCCGTTGCCGACCGTCAACGGGTGTCGGAATACATGCTGCACAGGTATTAGTGCCGTCGGTTTGTTATGTATGATATCATTAGTGTTACTGGTGTAATAACGGGAGGTGTGGCGTGTATGGAAATAGTAAATTATTGCTTTTAGTGGAAACTTAATATAATATTCCGTTGTGGGACGCACAAACAGAGAAACTACCGAATATGTGCACTCGGTGCCATTACACGTTATTAGATTAGAATTTAGAAAACGTTCGGCGGAGTTGTTATGCCGTGTACGACGCATTCCAAAGCAGTTTTCACCGACAAAAATAATTCACGGGAAAGCAAATTATACTAACATTTATCTATATAATAAAAATAATAATTTCGTATGTCAATTTCCTGCAGTTGTATTAATGTAAATTTATGGTAAATGTTTACGGTGACGGTCGCCTGTTACATTTCAATAACAACAATTATCATAATGATTTCGGAAGAAACGGTTAAGAGAAAACATTATTTTCATTCTAATTGATGTGATAAAAACGAAAATATTTTCTTTTCTCTGTTTTTAATAAGCGTCTGGATGTCTAACTATAATACTTGTTTATTTGGTAATAACTTGGTAGCGAACAGCTGTGATTCACAAACCTAGCAACCAACAACTATGATAAGCAGTGGTGACTAATCGTATATTAGCTATTTCAAATTAATTGATGCGTCAATTAAGTGATCATAAATATATTTAACTTATAATGTAAATCTATAAAAATAATTTCCTTAATAATAGTTAATCTAACGTAGAATTTTTAAATATATAATATATCATTGTCTGATTATAACATATGCGTTTGAATTTATTATTTTATCTAATTCTATAGTCATTTTTTTACCAAATAAATGACAAATCAATATTCAACATAAAATGTTGATAAGTTTTAACATTTAATTCTAAGGTCCTTTTTGAATCTTTATTTTGAAAGATTGTATCTTCGAATTATTTTTAATGGTCATAGTATAAATTATTGATTATTTAAAATAGATTTTAATAAATAATACTTTTATTTCACAATACATGCATAAAGAATATAAATTAAAACTTTACAATTTAATGATAATTGTTGTAGTACCCCAAAAAAGTTAAACTTATAAGCTTATATATTGAGTTCAGTATCTTATGAAATTGCAAACTAACCAACAAAACACTATAAATAATATTTAAAAACATTCTTATTATTTACACGTTTAGGACCTAATATCATAACAACGAAATAACACATTAAAAACTATTTTAATAATTAAAGTAATGAATATAACAAAACATTTACATGCATCATTAACAATTTTAAACTAGAGAAAGACTCGTTATTTATATTATATTTTATCCCGAAAAAATAGGACTAAAATTTGCAAACATCATACTGTGCAGAGGAATATTAAAATTGTTTTATAATCTGTTAGAATAAGTGTGAATTGAATTATATTTATTTAAATCTAATTAATACAAATAACGTAAAATGTTTTTCTATTTAACAATATAGATAGGTAAGATATTAAATTCCTTTTATAATAAGTTGATAATATTTATTGTATTATTTGGGCTTCTTTAACGAAACAATTTTTATTTTTCCTAGTCATTTTTAAATAAGGAAACTATAAATTTAAAAAATGGAGGATTAATCACCCCATTTGCCGCTGTTTGTTATCATCTGTTAAAACGCTTAACCAAACAAGTCTAAAACAACATTTACAAACTATAATATTTACCAGGGAAAAATTCTGAAACCAATATTTTTAAAAAACTTAATTGACTGGCTTTACATAAACGTAGTATTTTTTATATACGTTGGTTAGTTCTTATTTGATGTGTTATATTTATATTTTAGTCACGTAATTTTTAATACTTTTAATATAAAATATCGTTTTAAAAAAATCTATTTTGTTTATAAATTTTGTTTTCATTAAAAAAGTCATAAAATAAGTTAGCTAAAAACACGTTTGGAGTTTCATAGTAATTTTGATATCCTAGTAGCTTTGGTTGGGTTTATCTAAGTTCTTGGTATTTCTATTTTTTTATTTATATACTAATTGAAAAGAAATTTGATTTTAAGTAAACATCAATTAACCAAAATGTTGTAGTATTGATTTTTTGAGGACCCTGTTTTTCTCACGGACTCCTTGAAAACTAGATTTAACGTACATAATTAATGTGACTTTTACTTAATTCAACAATAATAGCTAACAAACGTTTGAAAATGTTCACGATCTGATGAGTAAATTGATAGTTACAGAATTATTTCATAGTTATTAAATTATTGTTAAACGACATTTTTTCTCACGTTTAGAATACAAATAATAAGAAAGTTCTTAATTTAATTTTATAAAATATCTAAAAACTGGTTCCAATATGTATTTATTGTTTTTTCATTATTTAATTTCTTACTATAAAATGTAACAATCATTAACTAATATAACAAAGAATTTTGCTGATATCAAAGTGTTTCTCATTACTCATACGCATATTAGTTAGCGTCACAAATATGTTAATAGCTACTCGAAGCAGCGAACTAATTGAAAAAAAAAACAATTTTCCAATAGGTAAATTCTAAAATATCTCTAATACTTTTTAATGGCTTTTATATTATTGCATTAATTAATAAATAAATCTATACGAAAATGTTTTAAACATAAACATAATATGTTTGTCCATTATTGGAAAAACATCATAATTAGCTAGTGCAACGTTTTAATGTTTGTAATTTATCAAATAAATAAAAATTTTATGAATATATTTTTTCTATAAACTTTAAAATGTTGCACTAACTATGCGATTTTTTCATTACAAAAATTGTCTTGGGTACTTACAGTAAAAACACTGTTATAACGAAATAATTAACAATCAATATATTTTCACCTGAACTTTTAGAAGTTTTTCTTAATAATTTTAATGTTTTAAATTTAAAAAAAAAATTAATTTAATATGTTGAAATCATAAAATGTCCAATATTGATTGATACCAATTATGTACAATAGGTATAAATAAACACAATAAAAAATATTTATCTAACTATGTGTTAACTAGAAAAAAGGATTAAGAGCTTACTGTCACACTACACTATTTTATAGTATATTCATTTCTATAGTTAACATTTAGATCTAATTAATAGATAGACACAATGTAAGTCGAGGATGCTTGAAAAAATCGTCGAAATCTATGTAATTAAATATCATTAATACTTTCGGTACTTTTATTTTTGTTCGAATTATTGTAGAATGATTGTATAATGATTGTATAATTATTAATTAGAATTTAATATAATTATTAATTAGAAAAATTAAAAAACTATATGAAAAAGACAAATGCATCATGAAGAGCTGCTTAATTTTTTATCTTAGTAAATTCAATAGAAATTTCTGAATGGTTTGCTACAATTTAGTAGTATTTAATCAAATGATATTTAAATATATCATATTATAATTTAAATATAAATAACAGTATATTTTTACGCAAACAAAAAAAAGGAAATTCAATTAAGTAAATCTATTTGTTTCTCAATATCAGATTGTCAAACTTTCTGTGCACAAATTGGTTATCATGAATTTACAAGAAAGTTTACCGGTTATAATATTAAAACGTGAAAATATACAATTAGCGTACAATTAAAACTTTCCAAGGCGTGACATTTGTCAGTGCACTCGCACCAAGCTTACTATTATTAATCATTTATTATAATTATCACGGTATTCTTAATATTAATAGCACCGTTGGTGTTAGACAAAAGAAAAATTAATACAACCAACACATACTGTTATTGCTCAAGCGTTTCGCCCCCCCCCCTCCATTGAAAATAGTATAGCGTCCTATAGTGTTAATATATATATTTTTACATTTATGCGTTAATAATAACATTTATTTTCGACGCCATCGACAGGAGGTTGAACGGTTTTTCATTTGATCGTTTGGTTTGGTTTTGTTTCATCTAAAACAATGAGTAGAGATACTCATTTAGATTACAATATGTCAAAGGGTTAACATTATATCCCAGGGAACTGCGATGGAAAATTAGCGCAGCGAAATATACGCAATGAAATTCAATTATCTCTCAGCAGAGGAAACGCTTAAGATCGAGCGCATGTGGCTGTTGGGGCCCACACAACGATAACGTAACGGCTCGTCGTATGTGCTCGCGGCGAGACAATGACACTATTACGTATGTGATTGTTATAGATACACTGTTGTTGTTGCAAATTATTGTTCTCTGCGGGAAATCTGCGGTGTATGATCCGTTGTCATCACCGCCGCATTTTTCACGGTTATTGGCCGTAAAAGTCGATTACCGCATCCAGACAACGTGGACCACATGTAACACTCGATTAGGTTTTTCTGTCGTTTTACAAGCGCACAAACGACAACATGCGACATTACAATAATATTGTTATTATTGTCCATAACAACAATAGAAAAGTGTTGACAACGTGTTTACATTGCAGAAATTCTGTTAATGGTGAGTGACGGGGAGAAAGTGAAATCCGAGAGAAAATACTGCAATATCATTACTACTGGATTACACATTCGGTGGCCAACCCGGCAACGTCGCCGCCAGAACTGTCGGTCGACGGTCGGGTGAATGGTATGCCGCGACCGCCTCCGCCGTCAAGGCCGACGCGTACACGTTTGACGCGAAGCGGGTTTTTCCGTTTAAGCCCTATGACCATAGCGTTTAAAAAACGTAACTTTATCATTTATTCTAGTGATAACAGTTTTTGTCAACACTCGAAAGACATCATGCAAACCATAAGAACTTACCCGAAGTGGAGGTGCACAGCAAAGTGACCAGCAACAACACGACAACTGACTCGGTCATGACAAATGCCGCTGATCTACTGCTTGTCCTTAAATTAGTGGCCGTCATCGGCTGAAAGAAGCGATCTCTCGAAAACGTCGATGGCCACCGCGACGGCTTGCCGCTGCGGTCAACGCGACGGTCATCGTTGGGTCGCCGTATTGTTACTCGATAATTTACTCACAGTTCGCAATAACTAATCGTCGTACGCTTATCGAGAACGTTTCAACTGAGCAGAGAAATGGCGAACGTTCGACTTTACCGGCACAATTTCGAGGATTTCACTGTGATACCAACGAGTAATAACTTAATCCAGGTTTGATGGCGTCTGCGTTACGACGACTCGTATGTTGTACTGTCCCGTCGGCGAACGGCACCGAAGACGTGGTGTTTGTTGGGTTGCGTAACATCGACCTCCTCCTCCACGCGACTGCCGTGTCTTTGTTGTGCTCGGTACTAACCGTCGGGTAGGAGGTTGTGCAATGCCGCGCCGCACTGTGTCAAACTGCTCCAGGATTTGTCCGTCGATTATACCTGTAGAGGGGGCCAACCGGATCTCTGTGGCATGCAGCGCAACTCGGTCTTTTCCAGCGGACGTTAACGGCACAGCTTGTGAGTAATACAGCACCTTATGGACAGTGGCACGCGCCAATTTGTATTCTTTCGTGAAATAAACAAATACGATAGATAAATGAATCATTAAAAACTGTTATTTTACGGTAATAGAAACTCACTTTTAATTTTGATCAATATTAAAGAAATTGACCGAAACACCACTTTAACCCTGAGATTTAAATGCTGGATCCAATCATTGATCATAGAGCCCAATGGGTGAACTCATTTGTTTTTTTTTTTATTTTCATGCTTACCATTTTATTAATCAAAACTTTTTGAAAATTGGGTGGAATAATTTGAAATTTCAATCAATTATTCAATCAACTTTTAAAAATCCAATAAATATACAAGAGAGTATTTGAATGATGAATAATTAAGTAAACATTTTTTTTGCAATTCAGTTTTTGAAAGTGCTCACGAAAATCTCAACAATTTTTAATATAAATGAAATCAAAATTTATTAATTATAGTTAGAGATTAAAAGAAAAATTCCAACAATATTTTACAGTATAAGTAGATTAACTTTACATTATAAGTAGAAATAAATTGTTTTTAATCAAATTAGCCATTTTTAACATCATAAAATATATTGTGGATAATTTTTTCATGGCGTATTGTACATACATATTTGGCCGATTTAAACTATTAAAACACCCTCCCTCCAAACAAATTTCATCAAGTTTTCTTCAAGCACATTGAATTCATATCGAATCGATGATAAAGCGTTTTATGATAGAGATGTTTATTACTATAAAATATTTGTCTATACTAGTGTCTGCTATATCAGATCACCACTATGTGGAGCACTGACACTACTGTTTTTTTATACTTAATACTTTGCATTTATAACAGTGTATATTCCAGTAGTTCAAAAAAACAAACCCAATAACGATTAATAACATAAATTTTTAGTCACCTGTTTAAAATTATTTAAAGTAAATTATATATATATTTTTTTGTTTCCATAAACGTTCTCAACTCTCACAGAAACGAATTTGATAATTAATACGTTAGAAAATTTTTTTCAAATACGAGAAGTTCCTTCAAGAGTTGAAAAAAACAATCCTCTAATTTTGTTTTTTAGGAACAATATCTTTCTAAAAATGTTGATATATTACATTAAATTATGTAACCATCGAAAGAGCAAATTCAGATAATTTTATTTTTAAATTGTTATTAATTTTAAAGATATTTTTATCGGTTATACTAGAGAACTTTTCTTTTGATAAACTTTTTTTAAGAGAGTTTGAATGCAGCAACATAAGCGTACCAACATTTTTCTGTATAATATTTGATTATGTTCTAGAACGTGTGCGACCTTAAACCTATATCAAATTGAAGTTTTTTAAGTGAACTATAATATTACAAAAAATAATTCCTATGACTTATCTTCCATGAATAATTTGATTCTTTAATGATAAAAAATAAAATATTTAAAACAAAATAGTAATATTTTGATTAAAATTTGTCTTTATTTTTTCGTATTTTTTATACACAAATGCATTGAAGCGTGTTATGATAGCAAAGTTAATCATCAACAGATTTCAATCTACAGAGTGGTCGGTTTATCATAAACCCCTCGATTACTCTTTAAATAAATACATTATTGGGAAAAACATTTTGGATATCTTTTTGCATATATTTCTTAATTTATCAATTAATAATTAATTTTTAGAATCATCCCTAATAATTTAAAGGGATGTCAACTTTATTTTTTCAAATGGCAACATACATATTTAACTAGAATATAAAACATAAAATAATCTAATTAAAAAAACGGTAGCACAGTGGGGTCGAGGCACAGTGTAAACAAGGCATAGATGGGACAAGTATAGATGATATTTGACAGTGATTAAAATCACTATCATAAGAAACGCTTTTGATAGCCCAAAAGTTGTTAGCGATCAGACATTTTCTTAATTACTTTACTATTTATTAAATAATCTAGTTAGTTAGATACGTTGCTGTTTGAAAAAACGATGTTGACACGCCTATAATTTATAAGAGATGATCCTCAAAAATAGTTATTATCAGATATATTAAGAAATATATGCAGCTAAAAGAAATCAAAAAATGGTTTTCCAATTCTCTATTTATTTTGAGTGTAGTTAAGCCGGATGTCTATACAGGTTTTAACTTTATAATGCAATTATTTTATTGCCATTATACGATAATTCTTTTAACGCTAGCCACTCGATTTCTCTAAAAATATAATTATGTTAAAAAAATTTCGATTATTAAAATTTTAAAATATCGAAAAGGTGAACCTAGATATGACAATATTTATCATTAGACATTTTTCGGTCACGCTTTTCCTCTCATCTAGGAATAAAAACGTTTATAATTTTCGAAGTAATGGTCAAAAATTTTGATCGCTTTAAAATCTACAAATAAAGCCTTTTTATTTTGAATAAGTAAGCCAAGATTTTATCTATAACTTTTTGGGTAGACTTTACATTTTAATACAGTATTTTTTAATTTGGTCATTGGGTTTTTAAGGAATTTTTGTATATTATAATAAATAATAAAAATAAAAAATATTACAAAAAATTATATATTAATGTTTTGTATTCTAAAAGGTTTATTTGTTATCGATTTGAGAATTATTCTTCTGGCTCATTTTCCTATTATTAATATATTACATGCTTATTTATAATATGGTTTTTATAGTAGAAAAAAAATTTAATCGTTTTTACTAACATTAACAATTTTATTATCAATAAGTAGTTTAATCTTTGTTTATTTTATTTTTATTACTATTTTGTTTAACGGAATGTTAATGATTCAATTTTATTTCCAAGTGTATGTGTTTTTAGGATTTTTAATGTGAAATATTTTACGTGAACTTTTTTAGTTGAAATATTTTAAACTTGAAAGTTTTAGCATACTAGAAATATTTTAATGAAAAATTAAAAAAAAATAAGTACAGTGCTCTTTATTGTGTATACCATACCCTATTTTTCGTTAAATAATGATTTTATCATAATAATGTATAGATTAAAATTTAATTAGTTTTTATAAATCATTCTTAATATCAAGTTTATTGTAGGAAATAATTGTACCTTAGTATAGATAATAGGGTTAACTTTCAAAAGTTAAATGTGAACCCATTATTTTTTATACTATTAAATGGAGAATGATCTCATCAAATCTTAACTGGTCAATAACGAGATTTTATTGTTATTTTTTGAATTGCTATATTTTTAGTTATAAATGAGTAAAATACACAATGTAGAAGATTTCTTATCTGTATGTTATGGTAAAAATAGAGCGTCATTAAACACTATCTCTCACCTCACCTTATTAAAATCTTTAAATGTTAGTATCATAATAAGTAATATATATAGTATATATATATATAAAAAAAAACTATTTCGAAAATTTGAACCAGCTTAAATTTTCCTTTATATTGTCTTACATTTACAGTCGTCGATTACCGGTATGGTAATATGTAAATCTATTGAGTTATGAGGTCCGGGATCAAATCCCATGGGGCATGTTAATTTTTTCTTAATTTATTTTTATCACTGTCAAAAAATTCAAAGTTTGTATGATTGTTATCTCATGTATATTAGTATTATTTATTTATTACCGTATACTATTAGTAGTTAGAACTAACACCTACTACCAAAGAATATCCTTAAAAAATCCTTAACATACCGATAGCCATTTTATGATAAATAGGTACAATAGTAAAATGATAGAAAGAGTATGAAGCTAAAGAAAAAGTTATGTTAAGAATTATGTTAGAAAGGTTAATAATGAAAATATCATATATAATGGTTTAGTACAAAAATGAACTAAATACATTTATGTCATTTCAGGAGAAAAGTTTGAAATTTTTTTACATTTTGAACTTATTTACTATAAATTTTCATAGAAAGTTATCTAAATTACACAGTTAACTCATTTCATCAAAAATGCACTTCATACTTTTTTATACTCGGCTATTGAAAAATAATATTTTTTTCACATTCAATGAAAAACAGTGATAACGAGAAAAAAAAGGACAACAGAAATAAAAATAATGATAAATAGGAATCAAGCTAAGTCCGCAGTATAACTCCAACCTCGGACTTTTAACTATCGTTTCAGAGATGAACTTTGCGTCCATTTACATATTCTAATAACCAAAAGAATGGCAATAGTACTGTTAAATATATTTAGGTTATATTAGGTTATTACTTAAAAAATGTAGTTAGTGTATTAAAACTACTCTTATCTGATATTCACTGATGATGATAGAATCTTGATTATAGACTTGTGGTTACTAAGAGTGTTGTTAAAATTATAGTAGGTATGTTAATGAAAGAGAATTGTATGTGATTAATAAAAGCGTTTTTATTACTATGAAAAGTGTTAATGATTTTGACAAATGTATGGTTTAAACTTAATAACGAATGTTAAGACTATAGACTCAGTATAAAGAATATTCTAAAGTACGTGGGGAATTATCTTAAAGAATATTAAGAATATTAATATTAATATTAATAATATTCTAAATAGCTGAAATACAATTTTATCATAAAGTAACATTTTAAATATTATTCGATGTAACATATAAAACAATTTTTAGCTTTGATGCGAATCTGAGGAGGTATTAATTTTACCATGATGTGTTTTTCTTTTTTTCAGCTCTCTCTCTCTGTACCGAATTCTTTCAGTCTTAAAAATGAAAATATTTCCCTCGTTCCCCGTAAATAAGGAAAATCTTCAAAAAATTGATAACCTTAAGAAATTTCCTCACAAAGGTTTCCCATAGTAATGAGTCCACTAAATTTTATAAAAGTTACATGAATATAACTACATTTATATTACAATAAATATAAATATAACCTTATTTCGATTATTAACCTTCTCAAATTAGGGGTTTTGAATTTTTTAACTAGCTTAAATAATTTTTTTTATCTACTAATAGATTTAGTGTACGTTGGCTGCCTAATATATTTACTAACAGTTAACTATTATACAGTCTAATACGCTCAGGATACTAACGCGTCCGAACCCCGTCAGTCGAAATAATTTTTTTTTGCATTTTTTTCTTAAATCCTTTTTGAGGCGGAAAAAAAGTTTAAAACGAAAATAAAAAATAACAATTGACCAAAATATTAAATGAATATTGAGGACCCTACCACCGTAGTCTTCCTTGTAAGAAGGAATTTTCTTATACATATTAAAATATATAACTATATGGTTATTGTGTCTGTCATTTATTTTTTTCAGCTCTCACTTGTCCAATTTTAATGACCAATACGTCAAAAGAACACGATTTCAATCATGTTGAACTTATAATCACCAAATATTGGAACAAATCTAATATTTTAGCAATTTAGAAAAGTATCCTAAAATATGCTACTGTAAAAATTGGCCACTTTTTTAGTTAACTAAAAATTTTATTTTTATTTTTTCAACAATAATTTAGTTCCATTAAAGTAAAACCTCTTAAAAATATCCCATTCTAGAATAAAATCTTACATATTTTTATTATAAAATCAAAATTAATTGAAACACAATCACATTATTATGATTTTATTTATAATAATTTATTATATTAATATTAGTTATTATTATTTTCTAAGAATTGATTAAGAAATTGATTTCGGAAATAAAATTGTTCCTTAGGAATCACTCTTTGTCGGTTGTAATAATTTATTAACATAATTTTTTCATATTTATTGAGAATATTTTTTAAATATTTCGGTCTCAAAGCATCTTCATCTTCTGGCGTGTTAATTGTAGTTTCAAGTTCTTGAAATATATTATATACTTTACTCTGCAAAGTTTTCTTGCGTGAGAGAATATTACCAACGTCTTTTATTAATTGCTTATCTGCATATTGATCAGGAATAAGATAAATATAACGTGCAGCTATTTCGTTACAAGAAATTAATGAAGGACGTTTAGAAACACCTTGTATAATACGGATAAGTTCATCTTCTTTTGATAAACCAGGCTGTATGTACGGGCTAGCCCATGAATATTCTACAAAATTTTTAATTTATCAAAATAAAAAAAAATATTTATATTTAAAGTTACAACTTTGGAAAAGAGTAATGAGTAAATATTTTATTTTATTTTGCTCTATTAAGTATTTTAATTTTTGAGTACTTACCATCAAAATATTCAGATGACTCTTGAAAAGAAAAAACAACTTTAAATTATCAATGAAACTAAATAATCAAATATTAATATCGTATATATTTCATAAACTTTGACTTAAATAAAATTTGTCAAAACAAATTACACATTAAATTTTTTAGAAATACAAATAAAAATCTTGATAATAAAGGAAAATCGAGATATAATTTGAAAATTGTGTCACTTATTTACCAGTTGCACAATTTATTTAAATACAAATACACTGATTGTAATGTATTTGTTTAAGAGAACAAATGTGATAACTTTGTTTAGCTAATGACAATAAAAAATAACAACTATTTTTCGAAACAAGTTTATTATTTTAGTTAAAATAATTGTAACTAAAATAATAATAACTATTACGAATAATTATTATTCATTATATGTTTTATTATTGTATTTTTATTATGTTCAACAAGATTTCAAAATACAAATTTATAAACTAAAAATATACTGAAATGTGGCTAATATTATTATTTAAAATTAAAATTATGTTAAAAATATTAATTTCAAACTAAAAATTATTTGACTCAATAAGCCACAAAAATTACTAAAAAATCGCGAATGCGTATTTCTGGAACTAAGAATTATAAACGTTAAACACATGCTAATAAATTATACACATTTATTGTGTATGATTGCAGTAAATAATACGACAGTATTGATGGCAAAATTATTTTTTTTGTAAAAGTAATACACTAATAAGAGTTGGAACAGAAAGGGTTTCCCCCTTCTAAAAAAGTAGACAAATTACATGTATTTTATGTGAAAACATTTTTATAAGGGAAATTAAATTTGTCCAAATTATGCATTTTCAATCTTATAAATTTTGATACCCTACGAATACAGATAAATGAATGTCGTTTAAAATGTATGTGTCACTATATTATCTTACTTTTACTATTAATATTTTTGATATGATTTATTAAAACATTAATACACATTCTTTAGCATTCATTGTATAGTATATCACTAGGTACATATCATGCACCTAGTTAATGTAATAATGTAAAACTTATCTATTTGCTTTTTTCAAACGATGGAACTTAAAAATGAAATATAAAAGAATTATTTTTAAGGGATATGCACAATAAATTTTTGTACTATTTCCTACAAAATAAATCTTCACCATTTATTTATTTTCTTTACGGAGGAGGTTCAATCCCCCATATCTCTCGGTGAGAGTTCTCATAAGTTAAATAATAAATACTAACGAATATATTTATTAGTGCATACTACCTTCATCTAAATCAACTATAAAGTAAAACAAAACAATAAATCAATTAATTAAGAATATATACATACTTTTATGCCGTATTTGTATACAAATAATTAGTTTACCTCCGGCCAATATTACGGGTAGCGTTGTAAGAGTAAGTGCTATAATAATTTTATTCTGTAATCATAATCATCAATATAATCATTTTTAGTTAAGAGATAGTATTTTTTTATTTAGAGTTGAGGAAGACAATTGAAAAAATGAACTTTTATTAAAATAGCATATATTATGCATATTACTAAGACAATAATATTATAATATTACTACATATTAATATATATATATTATTATATGTGATAAAATTATTCCGGATATATTTATGTGTCAAAGAAAAAAATTATCATCTATTATCATAGATAAAAAACCAAATTATTAAACAGTCTTCACTCCTTTTCTGTTATTACTATCTTTAATAAGGTTGGCAAAATATGAATTGTTTGATCAATTGGTCAAACAAAATTTGAACTAAAGAGATTTTGACTGGTCATATTCTGGTCTAACACAAAAATTTTTAATCTGTATTTATATTTTATTATACAACACGTTATCCTTATATATTTAGTCGTTATTTTATAAAAGTTGTTGTTTTAACTTTTGTTGAATCCTTGGCACTTATACGTTAAAAAATTTGAAGTTGAATTAATTTATCGTTTTAATTTAGTATAATAATGATATAAAAGAAATTTTCTGGAGAAATTTTAAATAATTAAAAAAATATATGAATTGTACCCAGAATAAAGGTATTGAACTCTCCATTTTCTTGAACAGCAATAATAGAATTATGTCATATTTAAGTTATTTAGTAATCTTATAAAAGGATAAAACATAGATTTTAATTTTGTAGTTTTTATGGTAAAAAGTTGAAATTTATTCTTCTTTTCGAATAAAAAATATTATCTTTTATATGAACAGCAAACATTTTTATTGACTAAATTAATGTAGATTAAAAAGTTATTATTTTTTTATTGAAATAACTAGTCACTTAACTGAGTTTACTATTAAAATTTATTAACTTGTATATTATAAGTTTATTTTTAAAATGTAACTCAACATCACAATTTATAAAAAATAACTAACTTGTCCAGTTTGATGTTTCAATAAAAAAAGACTGATCGTTTGATTAATTGTAAAATAAAACAAATAAATTAAATAATAATAATATTTTAAATAAATAATATTTTTTCTGGTCAGAAACCCAACCTTAGACTGTAATGTTTTTCCCAGATTTCTCGAAAGGAGTATCCACTTTATAATTATGAATTGGATAAAACTTTCGGAAAATCTTAGGATATTAATTATAATAAATACCCTGCATATTTAGAATGTAATAAAAGAATAATATTTTAAGTAATAATGGTTCAAGTTATGCGATTGACCTGTCATTTTTTAATTTTTGTATCAGTTAAATATTTTTAGCTTCAATGCGAAGCTGAGAAGGTATTAATATTACTATGATGTGTTTTTTTTTATGTCTGTTGCCATTTTTTCTCAGTTCTCACTAGACCGATTTTTCTCAACAATACGTCAAAAGATTACAAATTGTATCTAATTGAAGATATTGCCCTTAAAAATTGAAAATTTTGCCCTCGTTTTCGTAAATAGTGAAAAACCTCCAAAAAATTACGATTTTTAAAATTGGTAAATTTTGACATTTTTTTCTAAAAATTGCCATAACTTATTGAAAAATGAACAAATTAAAATAATTCCTTTTTATATTGAAACCATAGATATTTTTCTTTCATTTAATATAATTTTTTTGAAAATCTGCCTACAGAGGGGGATTCAAAATAGCAATTTCTGCACAAAAATTTTAATTTTTCAACTTAAGTTTTGTAAATGTTCCGGAAATACTCTGAGCTTGAAATAAAACAGTGAAAACATCATTAACGAAAAAAAAATTAGAGATAATTTTAAAAATATTTTAATATATTTAAAATATTTTCAATGCTTACCATTGTGAATTTACTTGCAAAAATTTTCTCATAAGATATAATGTCTACTTTCAAACTCTAAAAATCAAAACACTCAGAAGATTACTGTCTTTATAAATCAATGCAAATTTAAAATTAGTATCAAATTTAATTGTCTAAATAAAAAATGAATTTTAGGAAAATTCAAATATAATAAAAATATTTTGTATAAAATGTCAATAAATCATTCGATAAATTTTTTTTCACTTTATTTCTAATCAAATACACTTAAGAAACTACAAAACAGTTTATAGAATAATAGTACCCATAAGAACTACACTAGAATATTAACCTTAAATTTTTTATAAAAATGTACTGATTTTTGATTTACTGATCAAAATTAAGGCTAGGGAGGAACAGGTTAATGTTTAACTTCTATCCATTTTTATAATTTCGATCAGATAAGACTACTAAGTTGTGCAGATTTCCTGTCTATGCCTAAAAATTTTATTAACTCAAAAAGTTGTATTTCAAGATAACTCCTGATTGTTTACACACTCGTCTGGTCGTTTACCGGACAATCATAATTTAATTTAATGATAAATTAAACAACAATATTTCAAAAGAATATTTCCTTTATTATTATGTAAAAATGATACATTTTCGAAGCACTCTTTTAAGCTTGATACTATGGTTGTTGATAAAATCTATTTTAATATAATATATAAAATATATTTTGCAAATTTTGAAATATTCTTTAATGATAAATAATTATATTTACCACATAAAAATCATTATTAAATTAAATATTACCAACAATAAAACTGTTAGCTTGATAAAAATAATCATGACATACTAGATAATAAATAATGAATTAAATATTAAAATCATTACTTTAAGTTAAAATAAAATTGCAAACAATAGCAAATATTTTATTGTTCATGTGTTGAATTAATGTTGTTTAATAATTTTTAGTCAAATTAGACATCTTTTTAAAATAAAAATTTGTCATACAATATTAAAAATAATAAATACGTAAATAATATATTTCAGAAATAATCTAAAATTAAAAAGTAATATCCAAAAATTATACTCATATTTATTTTTTTTAATTAATTTAATTTTATATTATTATATTTATGCTACAATATAAAAATTAGCTTTCAACGATAAACCTGTTTACAGGTATTCTTTTTAAAACTTACATTGAAGTTTGATTTAAATTTCCATTTATCCATTTCAATATTTAAATACTTTTTCAGTTTCGCATCGAAGCTAAAATGAGATACTAAACGCGATCCTTAACGTATCACAGGTAATTGTTAACAAATTTATGGGACATTTAGGTCCGAATAGACTAGGCTAACTACCGAGAAACTTTCGGTAAATCTTTCATAATATTTGGGCCTATATTTTATATGTATAGACACCTCTAGATAGTTATAATGCTATGCTAAAGCAACTAATAACAATATATATTAGTCTTACTTTATGGTTTACTTAACTTATAAAACAACTCATAACAATAAGTACACTTTATTTATAAATAGTAAAAAACTCTTAGTTTTGACAAGTGTTTATTTCAGTCGGTTATCAAACAATTTTCAACCGTTCAATTCCCCAGCCCCTCTCACAACATTTTTTCCTTTTTTCTTTTTAAGCTTCAATGCGAAGCTGAGAAAGTATTTTTTAATTAATACTCTATACATTTGTACGATGTTTGTTTACTAGATATAATAATTTTTCTAATTGGGGAGCTGTAGAAAGCGCTATAAAAAAATAACTGATGAATAAACATAACCAAAATTATATATGATCCATTTTCGTAATTTGTGACATGAGAGCTCTTCAGTGGTTTTTATTGGTTATGTATTCATTGTTTTAGTATAAAGATGAGTATTTACTAAGTTATCTACCAACTTCTTTCTGTGTAGAAAGAAAAATATAATTATAAAATAAAAATAAATTTAATTAGTTGTTATTAACTATTAAATATTACCAATATAAAAAGTATAATAATATTTAAAATAACTCAAACACTGTGTAGTAATTTTATTTCCAAAATAATTAAAATAAACAGTGGGGCCGCAGCAAAGTGTAAAAGTGGCATAGTTGGGACAAGTATAGATGAAATCTGACAGTGATTATAATCACTGTCATAAGAAACACTTTGATGCAAAACTGTAGGTAGTGTTTAATTTAAAAAAATTGATGGATTATTCAAAAGGCAAAATGAATTTTTATTTCCTTATTTATATGTATAGTAGTTCTTAAATTAAAAGTTTAATTTATAAATAAATAATTACTATAGGAGTTAAATAGAGTATGAAATTATTAGTAATAATTTAGTATTGCAATTTTTACTGAGAAATTATAAATAATTATTAAGTAGATGATATTACTTTTATGGCAAACATGTATAAAAGTTGCTTGAATATAAATATAATATTAAGTATAAATGTCTTGATACTTAATATAAAATATTAGGGCAATATGACACACCAGTGTTTTGACCGGAAATACTGATATTTAATGATCAAGGAGATTTCCTAAGCATGTGTTATAAGGTCTTTAGTATTATAACTACCTCCGACAACTGATAATAATATTATCAATGAAATGATAAATAAAAATGTGTAATTAGTGATAATGATTTTTTTTTTGTACTTTTAAAACTCTAAGTTTATACTATCATTTTCATATTTAGTAAATTTTAAGATCCTATGATGGAGAAAAAAAGGTAAGCTACAATATAATTGTATTATTATCTTCCTTACTGATATTAATTGTATAGGAAATTATTATTTAAACGTAAAATCACACGACAGTCGTGGACAGAAAGTGATATGAAAAAATCTATATCTGCTATAGACAAAAAGGAAATGGGTTGGCTTAAGGCGTCTAAAAAATTTAATGTTCCTCAAGCTACTCTACGTAGTCGATGTTAGGACAAAAATAAATTAGCTATTGGTGTTACGAAAACACTAGGACGATATAAAACTTTTTTACCTTCTATGGAAAAAAAGATTAGCTGATCACATACTAAAAATGGAGCCCAGATTTTTTGGATTTACTGTGAAAGAAGTTTAGAAATTGGTCTATAATGTAATCGATTAGGCTTGTATACTTAATTTATTTTATACTAAAAAAAAGAAGCTGGTCGAGACGGTTGTATTATTAATTTTAAAAATTTTGTGATATATGGAACAAAGAAGTTACCTATGTTTTTTCTTTATAATTAAGAACCAAATTTTAAGTTGAAATATTTTAAGTCTAAATAGAAACATTTTTATTTTATTTACTTATAATAATTAATTTGTTTTGATAAAAACAATAAAGTATTGTTAAATATTGTTGTAAATGTATTAAAAGTATTTTAATTACAAAAAATCAATGAAATAAAACATTCATTTGTAAATATTTGAAAAAACATCATGTATATAAGTAAGTATGTTATTTTACCCGACCGTAAGGGTAAATGACAGTACATCATTTTTTTAAAAATTAAGTTTAAAAAAAATTTTTTTTTTGAGTATCTCTACTTGTTTGTGAGATAGAATAAAGTATATATGCCAAATTTAAAGTTATAACTCACAATATTGACTTTAAGAAATCAATATTAAAAAATAGTATGTCATATTAAGCCGATCTCCCCTGTGTGTAGTATATCGATATGAATAATTATGTAAACACCAAGAGCTGCATAGAAATGTTTACTAAGACTTCTATTTAAATGATTTGTTACAATAAAAATACAATAAAACGGTTTTATTAAATTTAATTATAGAAATACTAAACTTGCAAGTTGAGCTAAAAGCCCAAGTGAATAAGACTCTAGAATATACAACGCAGCCACCGTACACGTAATGTACGCATAAATAAAAAAAACTATTTAAACTAAATTAAAAATACAAAGTCGCTTTTTTGAACTTTGAAAATAATCAAAATAAGATTAAAATTATATTTATTGTAAGTTAGATTCGTGTAACTTTTATAAAAATTGGTAGACTCATTACTATGGCTAACCCTTGTAAGATATTTTAGAATAAACAAAAAAAAATTGAATACAAAAATAGCATGTGTTTTAACTACGGCAGTTATTTGCACATAAAAGATTAGTCGTCGGGACAATTTTTTTAAATATATAGTACGTAACATGAGCTTTAATTTAATATATATTTAAAAGACACAGTATTTCTGAAACATTTTCAAAAATTAAGTTGATTTTTCTAAAAAAGTTGCTATATTGAATCCCTTCTTGTGGGCAGGTAAAGAGTCAAATTTAAAAAAATATTATATCAAGTAAAAGGGAATTACTTAAGGTTTCAATATAATAAAAATTTTTTAATTTGTAAATCTTTCACAAGGTTATGGCAAATTCTAGAAAAAAAAAGTGAAAAAAATTTCGAAATTTACCAATTTTAATAATCGTAATTTTTTTGGGGGATTTGCGTCATTTACAGAGAACGAAGAAAATTTTTTCAATTTTCAAGGAAATATCTTCAATTATATAAGATTTGTGATCTTTTGACATATCGTTGAAAAAAATCGGTTCAGTGAGAGCTGAGATTAAGTGATAACAGACAAAAAAAAAAAAAAAAAATACACAATAGTAAAATTAATACCTTCTCAACTTCGCATCAACCTAAAAATATGAAAAAAAAGACAAATTTTAATCAAATATTACTATTTTGTTTTAAATATTTTATTTTTTATCATTAAGAAGCAAATTATTCATGGAAGATAAGTCATAGGAATTATTTTTTGTAATATTATAGTGCACTTAAAAAATTTCAATTTATATAGGTCACACACATTCTAAAACATAATCAAATATTATCGCATATTATGTTGTTTAAGGTGATAGGTTTTTTTTGTGTTAAACTTATTTTATTTATTAAATAATTTAAAATAAATTCTAAATGCATATACGACTGAAAAATGCGTTTATGAGAAGGAGCACTTTTTGAAAAAGTCGCCTTGATAACTTGAGATTTGGATCTGTTCCGTAAATATAACACCGAGAAGTAATCTTCGAAGAGATCAAAAGCAAGATAAAAATTGATGAGCAAAAAAAGTCATCGGGGTCCCCTAAGATAAAAACTCAGATTTTTCCCCCTACTAAAATTAATTATAAGAAGAAAATTAATTGTTTATTCTTAATTCCACATTTTTATTAAAAATCCAAATTTTTAAATAGTAAAATAGCTATAATACAGTTGTCGTGTGCGAACATGTACGAACGAGTTGTTTTCCTCACTATAGGCAGGTACGCATGCGCACACGAGCAGTGTTTGGACGACCGGCAGCGTCGTCCATACGGTAAAATATTAGTATATTACTATTTTGGTAATTTATTTAGAATTAACTACGTGTACGCTCGTCGTTATCATTTGCTATAATAGTATAATCGCTATTATTATTATTTTCATTTCTATTTTCTACTGCGGCCTTTAAAATAATATATGTTTTATTTTATTATATTTAATTTGCCGATTTTTTATACCTATAACTAGCGGTATTATATTTAAAGTCGCACCTCCACCACCAGCACCCACGAGCCACCACGGGTTATTTCAATTTCTGGGCCTCTATTAGTCATATACCTAAAATTTCTAAGTTCTGCATAAAAGCACACATCTGTATTTAGTTTTGAAAATAAATGTCATAAATAAATAATTCTATAATTTATTAAACTTCAAGTTTATTCTGAAAAAATATTTTTATATGCGTCTATATTTTTATATACCATATTATGCGTCAGATAATTAAAAAAATTTTAATACTTTACAGTCGTATTAAAATTAATACTAAAAAAAAGAAGCGAAATCTATTTCTATTTACTTAGATTAGAAATATCCATATTACAGATATTAAGTGTTTAGGTTAGCAGAGAGAACTTAACGCCCAAAAATTTAGAAATTTATATATTGTTATTTAATAACATATAATTAAAATATTTAGTCAAAATATTTTTGAAATAATAATTTATAAATAAAAAATATTAACTGATAAAGCCACAAAAATTACTAAAAAATCGTTGATACGTATCTCGATAAACAATGTTATCATTTCAAAGTTAAGTATTAATGACGATAAAACTTCTTCTTCTTCTTCTTCTTCCTCGCCTTAATCCCTAAACTTCCACTTGACACGACCTCCCACATCATCTACGCTCACATCAACTGTCCTCATAACGCATTCAATAGCATCCCTCCATCATTTTTTTTGTCTTCCTCTACATCTTCTTCCTTGAACATTCATTTCTATAACTATTTTTACAGCTTCCAATTCTTCTCTCCTCATAACATGACCAAACCATCTAAGTCTATTTTCTCTCATTTTATCCACGATTGACGCTTAACCTATACTCCCTCTTATATGCTCATTCCTTATTCTATCTTTTCTAGTCATTCCACTCATCCATCTAAGCATTCTCATCTCTACTACACTCATTCTCTGCTCTACTTTCTTATCAACTGCCTAACACTCTGAACCATACATCATAGCTGGCCTTATTACAGTCTTGTAGAATTTACCTTTCAGCCTCATTAGAATTCTTTTATCGCATAAGACGCCAGACGCTTTTATTTAAAAGTTCCTTTAACCACATTATGCCAACACCGCCTAGTATTTTCCATACTTTTACTGGTACTTCATCAGGTCCTACTGCTTTATTCTTTTTCATTGATGCCACAGTCTTTCATACCTCTTTCTCACTAATTAAATCTACCAGTCCCTCATTCCACGAGATATCCTCTAATGTCTCTTTTGGGTACTCCTCATTCAATTATTTTTCAAAATACTCTTTCCACCTTTTTTCACATCATCATCACTCGAGAGTACCTTATTATCAACACTTTATTCAGTCAGTTTATCTCCAATTACACTATGCAAAATATTTGAGAGAAAATTTTTCCAAATATTGATATAGAATTAAGAATTTTCATATGTGTACCAGTGTCTAACTGTACTACAGAGAGATCGTTTTCGTGTCTTAAACACATAAAAAACTATCTGAGATCCACTCAGATAGATACAAAGTTAAATAATATCGGATTCCTCAACATAGAAAATGAAATGTTAAACGAACTAAATTGCGAAAATTTAATTCACTTATTTGCGAAAACTACATTTCGACGTAAATTGATTTTATAATTACTAATTATACATAATATATGATATATCTGTTATTCTACCATTTATTTTTATTCTCGACCACGTATTACTTATGTTAATAATGTAATACATTAACAATAATGCTTATTTTATGATTTGTTAATGAATAAAGATTTGCTTGTAAAGTAATTTTTAAATATTTTTTTTGAGGTGGAATTAGTGTTAAGGTGAAAAAAGAGAAAATTACCCTCCTCTCCCCTCAGTAACATAATGAAGGGCGGCAAACTTTGAAATGCCTACAGGCGAAAAATATGTGAATACGCCCCTTGCTAAACACTGTATATGATTTTACAGTATGATAGCTATGGAACTATTTTTTTTTTTGTATATCTATGAAACACCATATTATGACATCTATATTGCGTGTAACATCTGTTACATATTGAATATTAACAACTAAATTTGATTAAGTTAAAGTCTATAAGAAATTTATTCAAAAAAATTTAAAAATTCAAGTCAAAATAATCTATTTAGGTTGATTTAATAAAATTAAATATAATACAAAACTTATAAAATCAAGTAGTAATAATACTTTTATTATAGATAATGTATTTTACAAATATTAAAAGTACATAATTTAATAATAAATTGATATATTAAATTGTATATTTAATACGATAAAGCCTTAATATAACTTGTATTAACTTAATACAACTGTTAAAATAAAAAAATATTTTAATTTAAATTAAAAGACATTTTTAATTATTCTAAATTTATAATATTAAAATTAAAACAAATTATTGTAAATGCATAATTATAGTCCATTGAAACTCAAGGAAATTTTTGAAATATAAATGATATATTAATGATTTTATTTAGAACTTGTAAAACTTATTATCCAATAAGGTTTACTATAGTGGACTTTATATTTCACTAAGGTAAACCTGTGTATTACTATCAATATAATAATTGTTTTAAAAAAAATTCAAGGGTCTTATGTTAAATATATCAGTACAAAATATTTGAAATTATTTGTCATTTTAGCATATTATTTATGATCACATGGTTACTATACCAAATCAAAAATGTTTACCTAAACTCTATTATTTTTATGTAACTATACATTTTTTTTCGTGTATCAATGGCTTTTTTTAATTATTTTTATAATTTAAGTAAAATGATTGGACCAAGAATTAGTACAAAACTAAGGCCGTTAATTATAACGAGTCAGCTCCGTAAGGCCTATTCAGAATCGATTTGTCATAAAGGGTTGGTTCTGGGCTTGTACCGTGGTTGTCAACCAAGTGAGGTGCATCTTACAGAACAAGCCCAAATTTTTGATACTTCTATTCAGAATCGAGTCAGTGAATTTCTGAGACAGTCAAATATTGTTCAGCAAAAAGTAGTTGTGGCCCATGGGCTTCACAAAGATTATTTGGCGGTGGCGTTTGTCGATATTGGACAGTCTAAAAACACTGAATATAACGATCGAGAGAACATGGATCAGTGCTTAGAGTCGACTAGAGTAGGAACAGCTATTGGCGTTCAAGCTTTACAATCATATTTGGTGGATGAGATACACGTTGAAGCTATGTCGAATGCAGGCGCAGCAGCTGAAGGATCAGTGTTAGGTGCATGGTTTTTGGAGGGGTATAAAAGCATTGACTATATGTCACCAAAAATACCAAAAATTTGTCCATTTAATATATCAGAACACAACTCGTGGTTAGAAGGCAAAATATTAGGTGAAGCACAAAATCTATCCCGTGAATTAGCCCATATGCCACCCAATATTGGGACCCCCGAAACATTATCTGCGCATATTTTAGACTTAATGTGTTCATGTAAAGTTGTCACTAACGTTAGACACGTAGAATGGATTAGGGATAAAGGACTAAATGTATTGCTTAACGTAGCTAAAGGGTCACGTCGACCTCCTATATTGTTGGATTTGATATACTGTGGAGGCAGTGAGAGTGATAAACCCGTAGTGCTTGTTGGAGATGGATGCACTTATGACTCATGGGGTCTTTGCCTTCGTAATAATAAATCAACTAAATATGGAATGTTTCGTAAATGTGGTGCAACATCAGTTATCGGCATAATGAAAGCTGCTGCACAGCTCTCTTTGCCATTGAAAATCAATGCTTTAGTGCCATTGTATGAGAACAAACCCGGAGGAATGGCACTCAAGCCTGGCTCGATAATTAAGACATCAAATGGTGAAACAGCTGAGGTACATCAAACTAACGTTTCTTCTCGAATGGTATTAAGCGATTTGATAGCCTACAGTCAAATATTAAATCCTCAATGTATAGTTAACGTAGCTTCCTTATCAGAAGACACTCAAAAATACTTTGATAGCGGTGCTTGTGTCGTATTTACTTCGGACGAAAATCTTTATGAAGATATTCGTGTCGCTTCGGTCAAAACCGGTGATCGAGTTATTCGTGCACCACTTTGGGACTTTTATGGTACTAAGACTAAATGGCCTACTTTGGGTGACGTGCGAGTTTTACCACATCAGAATTCTGGCGATGCCATGGCTGCTGCTATGTTTCTAGAGAACTACAAACCACAGTGCTCTAGAATGGTAACTTTAGATATTGCAGGTTCGGCGTTTTTGAGAAGTTCTATACCCCAACATTACCTTAGACCTAGTTTAATGACTGGAAGTCCAGTCCGCACAGTTATACAGTTATTGAAGCAAATTGCTTGCCCTAACGATAACAAACAACTGGCCAGAAATCATGGTTAACCAAATTATTTTATTATTTTGTTTTTATTTTATTTATACATTGATATTTCTTATATTTAAGTACATATATTTTCATATTTGATTAATATAACGTTTAACTTCTTAATAGTTATATAAAACACTACTTCATATTCGCAATATGAACAAATTATGTGTAGTTAATGTAATTTCTCTTGCATAAATAAATTTTTTATAGCTATTTATTTTTTAAAAGTATCTGTATAAAAATTAATTCAATTGCCTTCTTTTGTTGAGGTACTTAAGTGTTTTAAAAAATACAGATATGTTTTAGTTTTATAGTTATAATATTTATTAATATGATTTGTGATTTCGAACAAAAATTTGCAGGAAATACAATTCAATAGTATATAATTACTTATTAATTTTATAAAAACACCTTGTTACTCAACTATTATAAATAAATTTATAAAACTTACTTCAGTAAAAATCAGAAAAATATAAAAAATTGTATTTTAATTGACTTGCCAACAAGCAACATAATAAATTATTTTCATGTACATAGTTTTCAATATTCATTTACTCGAAATTTATTAATATATTAAAACAAGAACTGGCTCTTGCTTCGAAGTAGTTACGCTTGAACATCTAAAAAATTTAATTTTATATATTTTATTCGCTTAAATCATTGACACTGAAAATTAAATACATATTATTACGTTTTGAAAATAGCAACACTGTCAACAGCGTTTTTGATAAGATATCGATTAAACTAGCGGCAAACTTTAGCATGATAACAGAATAGTTTTCTGAATTCCGGCTAGTGAAAAGAATTTATATTATTACCACTTTTAAATTATTGTTTCACTGTAATGCCCGCCAATAGAACGGAAGATGATTAGGTCGTTTCTTGGCTGGATATGGAGAAAATTGTGGTGGGCTTGGTATTTAGGAATAATTTTGTTGATTTGTTACACTAGAGAATGTTTGCGGAAAAAACCCAATTGGGAAATAGGTTGGTAGCCAGTTGTATTTTGTTTGCCTTAAAATTCAATTATCTTTCATACAATTTTACAAGATATTTATTAATTCAGTTAAACTGGTTAGATTTTGTTAAAAACAGTAAAGATGAGTTTTGACTTCATATCATGGCATTATTCTACATTATAAAAATAAAAGTATATATATTATGATACATAATGTATCATAACTCACCCTGTTACATATATCTCTTGATTTATCAGCAATAAATTATTTTTTTGAATCATCCCTTATAATTTATAGAGGTGTCAACTTTATTTTTTCTAAAAGCAACATATAATGCTTGTTTGTTTGATAATAATCTAATTAATAAAATAACATGTTGATAACAAATTTTGGTCCAGTCTTTTAGAAGTTATTAAAATTTTATAGTGATTACTGGAAGTGAGAAGTGGGTATTTTTATTTTCATGACTAATCATTTCCCGGCCTTACTTTTTTTCCCAACTAAGTATAAAAATGAGAATAATTTATAAAATACTATCTCAAAAGTTGTTATCAACCATTTTCTTAATTAAATATGTATGTTGCTATTTAAAAAGATAAAATTGACACCCCAATTAGTTATAAGGTATGTTTCCTATATGTAATTAATAGCTGATAAATCATGAAGTATATGTTACTAAAATATTCTAAACATTTTTTTTCAATGTTGTGTTTATTTTGCGTGCAATTGAGTGGTTTATGATAAAACAAGTCTTGCAAGTTTAACAGTGATTTTTTTTTATAATATTAATGTCTTGTTGTAGTATCACTCTTCATGGACTCATTGACCCCCAAGTTTTACATCGCTTTAACTGCAACATCATCATTTATATCAGCATTAATCATGGTAAGAAATTATACATAAATTAAGTAATATATATCAAATTGAATATTATTGTCTATTAGATCAGGTGTTTTTGCATGCTTGAAAATGCATTACATTTAATTATTGATCATAAAATGGTAATTCTAATAATTCACATGATCCTATTTTAATAGCAATAATACTAGCATATCTATATAAACTATTACTAAAAAAAAAAGTTTAAACTTAAATATCATGTAGTAAATAATTTTTACAGGTTCTTGAATGGATTTACTTTCAAAAGTATGGAGTGTCTTTTATTGAACAGTTTTCTTTGAATTACATAAGTCCCTGGATTGGTGGTTGTAATGAAACTAGTCAACCAGTACCAGGTACCAATAATTTAAAAGTTTTTATTAAATCCAGTATGTAATAATAAAAAATGTTTATACTTTCAGAATGCAAAGTATGGAGAAATCCATTAGGACTTTTTCGAGGTGCTGAATATATTAGGTATCTTAAAAGCTTTTAAAAACTTCATGTTTAAAAAACATAATAATTATCATTTAATAATATTTTTCATTATAAAATAATTTATAATTAATTTTATCTTCGTTTTAATATTTGAAAATGAACTTTATAAAATTAAAAATGTAACTCATGAAGAACTAAAAATCATTACCGTTACTCCTTTTATATATAAAATAATTTTTTTTGTAACAGTTTATTATGTTACAGTATAGAACTCAAATTTGATGTGTATTTTTTGTTGTTTTATACAAATAACAACAGGCTTTTTAACTACAAGTTAGTTTATTTTTGCATTAGATTATTTACTATAAGTTAAAAATTCTCCCTCAGCTATAATGAAATTGTGTCAAGTCGACAGTTGGTGTAAAAACCTGTTTAATCATATGATAGCACTGACCGCAAATAGTCAGGATAAAAGGATAATAATGGCATTAAGTTAACATTTTTTTTTTATACATATATATAAGCTAATATTTGACTATTTCTCCTATTTGTGTTTGCTGAAACAACACATGTTTAAAATGTTAGGTTGAATTTTAACATTTTTTTTTTAAAGTTTTTATATCATTATACAATTATTTATAGTTTTATAAAATATTAAGATACATGTACATTGAAGAGTTTTAAATCGAAAAATGAATTGTATATTTTAAGTAGAAAATAATATATTAAAAAAATATGATTTTTTTGCTATTAAATTAAGTTAGCAAGTCATTATAAATGATCACATAGAAAAAAAATCTCGTTATTAGACCTAAGTCACAATTTTATATAAAAGATTATTGAAAACTCGACTTTTTTTAAAACTTAGTACAACATTTTTATACAAAAAATGTAATTTTTTTAATATTTCTTTTATAATTTTTTAATGTTCTTTGGTTTTAAAAATCAAGAAATTTTTAAATTTAACTTAAAAATTTCAAAAGTTAATAGATAATTAATTATGTTTTATATGATTCAATTTAAAAATTTTATTTACAGGTTTAAGCTATAATGTTTTGTAATCAAAAAATTATTATGTTCATGTGTAAATATATACAAGCAGATCAATTTATCACAAGTCACTCAGTTATTCAAAAAATAAAAATAATTGATAATTCTTTTTTTTTTTTTTTGCTATTTTAAGTTACATAATGTTCTTGAATTATTAGCTATGTAATATTATTTAAGCTCATTCCTGATACTTAATTACTGTATTTAAAATTTCTTGTATGTTTTACACGTATTTTAACTTCAAAAATCAAAACTTTATTTTAATAACAGTATTATAACTGACAAACAAATTAAGTAAAATAAAGAATGCTAACGTAAATAAAAATGATAAATATGCCTACATTAAAAAACATTAAATATATGATTCTATTTAAAAAAGTAAATTGAACAACTTTACAAGGAATAAGAGATGGACTTAAAATGTATTACATAACTAATAATTTGAGAACTATATAGAAATAAAAAATTGTTAATTATTTTTATTTTGCAAGTAATTAAATGATTTATGATGAACGGATCACTCTGTTTGTATATTTAACAATTTTTATTTCCGAAATTGTTATATATTTAAAATTAAATATAATAATTTAAAATTAATTTAACAAATATCCATTGAAATAATTTTTATGTGATCATAATTTTGGCTCGTATAGATATTAAAATATTAATGAATGGATTTTTAGGTATTTTAATTCAACTAAAAAAGAACCATTAACATTTTATGACATGAATCTTTCTGCTCAAGATCACCAGGCATTTTTTATTTGTGAAGCCGATAATGGAAAGCCTGACTATGAAAGTATGAGAATTTATTTTCTAAATTTTCTTTAAATAATATTTGAAATTGTATTTTAGTTATGCAAGCAGCATGGAGGGAAAGGGTACCAGAAGCTAGGGTTAAAGCTGCACATTTGGCTCTTGAAAAGAATCCAGATTGTGTAACAGCTTTAATAATGCTTGCTGAAGAAGAAGCACCAACTATGGTAAAGGCTGAAAAAATTTTAAGAAAAGCTTTAAAACTAGCAGAAACAAATTATAAAAAAACTCAGAAATCTCATCATCTAGATGCCAGTATTGAAATGCAGCATAGTAATATTTATATATATTTTTTGTTTTTATTTCATTATTAATTTATTAGTCAATAGACTATTTTATATTATTTAGTCTAAATTTATCAAATGTTATAGGTGTCTTTGTAAAATCCAAAAATTCCCCAAAATGGTAAAAATAAATAAATATATTTTATTTGTTACACTTAAAATTACATTGAAACAAATTTTTAAGTATTTCTTACAATAAATCATAAAACTAGTTCTTAATAATTTCATATCAACAGAATTAAATTATAGGTAAACTATAAAGTATATTTTTAATGAATTATAGTTTAAAGTGTGAATAATACTTTCAAACTTTTTTTATTTACCTGATCAATATATACCAATTTCATTATGATAATTTAAAATAATTTTGGTTTATTCTAAATTGTTGTAATACCCCCTTTAAAATAAAGTTTATCAAAATATATGGTATAAATCTCATGACACAACTCGAAAAAAAAATGTTATCAAAGAGGTCAAATAAAATTGACAACTCTATGGTGTTTGATAACAACTTAATCTACTTAGATCTACTTAGATTAATAAAACTTGTTTGGCTTAAAATTTAATATTTTTTATTCATATTAGTACTAAAATAGAAAAATAAAAAATTTTGAGATGTAATTCAATCTGATGGACAAATATCAGCACAATAAAAAACATATTTCCCTCTTATGTTTTTAATTATAATAAAAAAAAATGCATGGAAAATATGCGAGATCCTAGCTGTAAATTGTAAATTAACATTTTTAATATGTTTGTTGTTTATACAATACTAAGTATGTACTATAAAACTAAATTTATATAACTTATCTATTTCAAAGGAAGAGACTTAAATGTATTAATATATGTACGAAGAAGGATTGCTATGTGCTGCAGAAAATTGGGAAAATTAAAAGAAGCTGTAAAAATGTATAGAGATGTAGGTACAACTTAATTTATTAAAAATAATTCTTTAGCTGTTATCGTATCAAAATTTAACAAAAAAAAAAGTATTGATTACTATGTTTGTTTTAACAATTACTAATTAATAATAAATTTCAAGAATAGATATTTTATATATTACCTAATACTACTTTGATTTATGTTTATATTACTAGTTAAGTAAAGAAATGCCTCCAATAATGAACATTCTGAATGTACATGAAAATCTTATTGAAGTATTATTAGAAATGCAATCATATGCTGATGTACAGTCTGTATTAGCTAAATATGATGATATAAATCTACCAAAATCTGCAGTAATTTGTTACACATCTGCACTGCTCAAAATTCGTCCTATTGCTGACAAGTAAATTATCTTTAATTAGCATGAATATATTTGAACTTAAATTTTTATTATTTGTGGTTGGTTTACTAATCTAATAAAGTATTTAAAAGATAGATATTAGAAAAATTGTTCAAATACAATACATGTTTAAATTTCATATCTTATAAAGAAGATACTATTGTATTACTCAAATATGATGATATAAATCTAACAAAATCTAAAGTTATTAATTATATTTTATAAAAATTAGTATAAGTTTTAATGGTTTTTTTTTAAATATTGTTTTTTTTTTATTTGGTAACAACTATACTATAAGATGAATTTAATATATTTTAAAAAGATATTCAATTTTGTTTGAAACAGATTAAATTTAATTTAAGCAACTATTATCTTACTTTGCCAATCTTGTATGCTATCTTTCTGATTTTATATGCATGTGAATTAATTTTTTTCTTTTGGTATTTATTTTTCCTTAAATTTCATTATGGATTCCATTGTATAGTCATAAAGCCATCTTTATATAAAATAAATGAGTTTATATTATCCATCTATCTCTAATTAAAAGTATGTTTTTTAAAACTATTATAAATCATAAAATTTTAAACTAAATTAAAGGTTATTTTTGATACAATTATTTAAATTTATTAATTTGTGTACTAAGAACTAGTAGTGGACACTTTCCTGGTAAAACTATTTTTGGTATATTTCAAAATTAACTACTACATGATAAATGACAATAAATGAGTCGGAATAGTGCTAATCTCCAGGCTTATAATGTTTGTTTAACTTATAGATTTAACCCAGAAAATTTGCTGAAAAAGGGCCCTACATCAGCAGAGGAAGTAGCAATTGAAGCAATTCATCGAGCTGTTGAATTTAATCCTCATGTTCCAAAAGTATTTACTATTTTATTATTATTAAATATTATTATTACATAAATATGCATTAATGAGAAGATTGATTGAGTAAGATGTTATATTCTTTAAGTATTAAAGCATGTATTTTACTTATATTTTATTTCTGTATAAAATAAATTAAAATTTATTGAATTATACATTTTAGTACTTATTGGAGATGAAATCTTATATTTTACCTCCTGAACACATATTAAAAAGAGGTGACAGTGAAGCAGTTTCTTATGCATTTTTTCATTTAACTCATTGGAAACGTGTGAAAGGAGCTATAAATGTTTTAAACGCTACATGGGAGAGTTCTTTTAATCAAATTCCATATCCATTGGAAAAAGGATATTTATTTCATCCATACCCAACATGTACTGAGCTTGCAGATAGAGAATTATTACCAGGTAAATAAAGGTCAATGACAATTGATATCTAAAAATGTTACAACTATTTGGTGTTTCAGCTCATCATAAGCTAAGTGTTTTTCCAAAGAAAGACATGCCATTTTTCATCCATTTCACTGCTGGGCTTAGTTCCTTTTCAGCAATACTTGCCTTATTGATTTATCTTCAACCTCAATTTACTGGAAGCATTGCATATATTGTAAATTCAATTAAAATTTTTTTATTAAAACATATATTTAAATTACTGATATTCTTACAGATCTGCATGTGGATTATTGTACCAGTTAATTATTGTCTTGATCGGTTAGAGACTATTCTTCCAAACCATGTAATGGAAATTCTTTCTAACATTTAGTTCTTTAAGATGGATAATATTCTAATTGTTCACAATCAAACCTATTTCATTTTATTGTAAATATATATATAAATTTTTTTGTTTGTAAATATGATCTGTACCAAAAGATAAAAACATTTGTATGATCTTTATGATGAAATCGTTAATGAAATTAATGACATTTTTTAGTTTATAATTATTAATTCATCTTAATTCGGTGATGTGTTCCCTATTTAAAATTTAATTATTATGTCAATTATTTAATTTATTAATTTTTGATGACATATGGAAGATTTACTGTATTGAAATTTTATGTTTCTTTTCTGTTGTAATATATAATTATTAAATTGTTACAGCAATCTTTTGTAATGCTTATTCAAATACAAATCTAATTTTCCAAACAGATAGTGATGAAATCCAAATAAAATTTTATCTATTTTAGTATCACAACCTTTTTATTTTTTATTTATGTTTTTGCGTTTGATGTTCTTATATAATTATTAAAATGTGTTTCTTTCTGACTATTGATATTTTTTATAACTTTCTATTTAAGTAGTGGTATCACAAGTATAATTTTGTTACCAACATTTTTATTTAATAAACATTATAAAACTTCCATTCCTTTATAAAATAAACGAACAATTGTAAATTAGTTAAATTTCATATATACCTTTTTAAAATACTAATAAAAAAACTTATGCTATAAATAAAACTAATTTTTCTTGGACATATATCTCTAAACAAAAGAAACCTTTTATCTTGTATATTTAATACGTATTTATTTTTATTATAAATGACAATTAAGAAGTATAGATAGATTAAAATTCTTCTTTAAAAGAGCTGCAAAATTTTTCTAATTGCTAATATTTTTTGTCAATTTTATCATGCAAGGACTTCTTTTTAAAGGATGATGATTATTTAAGGAGAGGGTATAAAGTAATTATATTTTTGAAAAGTGGTAGGGTGTGTGAGGCGCGAATTACCCATGTTCATCTATCACAATTTTCAATTATATACTAAATATCGTACAATAAATTCACGATTAAATTACTGATGGTAACGAATATATTTTTCTAACTTGTATATTAGAAAATTATACAACTAAATTACTGATTAATAACAAATATTGAATCAGTACTTCATGAATACTATAATATTTTCATATATTATTCATATAAGTCATTAACATGTTATACCTGAGTAGGATGAGGAGTGTAGCAAAAAAAAAAAAAAACGTTATGATACATTAAAATGACACACGTCTCACCTACAGTTTACATTTAAACATGTTTAATGACTTTAGAAATACTGATTTAAGAGTTGTTATTGACCAGTAATTATCTTATTTAGAACATTTCCTGACACTTGATCTATTAAAGTATGTATGCTACCATAAAAAAAAATCAGAAATCATTTAAAGAATAAAAGATAGATTTAAAAAACATTTAACCACTTATTTAAGACACAAAATGTTGAAAATTAAACTTTCAAGTGCAATATGTTTTTATGAACAGACACTTTTTTTTAAATAATTTTCAAACAAATATTAAACATTTTCTGATGTAGATTCTAGATATAAACTTACTGTAGTTAAATCTACATTTATATATCGGAAAAAGTCATATATTGTAGAGATGACGCAAGTCTAGAACTTTTTGTTGCGTTTAAGTTACAAAAAGACTCTTTAGCTATTTCATTTACAACATAATATACCAATTGAAGCATTTAAAACAAAATTTAGAAAACAGTTTTTTACTATTTTAATATTATTAACTTCCGTCGTTTTTTAAATAAATGATTCAAATCTAAAAACAAATAATACTAAAAGTTATTTTACGTTATGTAATTGTTTTAAGATATTTGTTTTTTAGATCACAAAACATTTTTTTTGCATATTCTTAATATTTTACACACATATTTATGCGCATTTTTTGTAAAAAAATAGGGCCTTACTAATGATAGTCGTATATTTTTTTATTCAACGAAAGTTTACTATTATACAGTGTCAGTCACCGATGTGGACAATTTATATTAAGAACAATCATAAGAAATAATCTCTAAAGAGGTGAAAAACTTATTATTGTAAAGTTTTTTGAAACAAATATTTTTGTCGCATGTAAAAACTAAAATTTTTTAATAATTTCTGAGAAAATGAGTGTCTTACCCAAAATTGGTCACCCTGCATTCTGGTGTTTAATATCACAAAATTTTACATACGGGCCCTAACTGCACTGTTTTTTTTTCTATTTAACTATTTCTTCTAAAAATAATGACAAATTAACAGAATTATTTAAATTTATTATTTACTAATGTATTTATTATTTTAGATATTTTTAAAAAAATTTCATGTTACAAAATAGATTTTTCTTACAGAAAACAAAATAATATTCTTAAGTTGTATTGTTTCCCTATCTTGTATAGCGGTTGTACAAATCTACAAAACAAAAACATGTGATTTATCCTGAAAATATTGCTAACAATTACACTAAAATAAAAATATCATTAGTGTAGGCTATACATTGTGTTTGTACATTCATAAGTAATATTATGACTAGATAATTGTATAAACTATTTTAATACATTTGGTAGTATTTCAATGACTAGAAATGGACTTATTAAAAATATATATATAAAAACACCCACTTTATACATAAAGATGTTTAAAATATAAACAATGACTAGATTAGTAGTATAAACTAAAAATAAAAACAAGTAACACATTAAGAAATAATATACAAAAATATTGTAATAAGTTATTCAGCTTGAAATTAATGAACATTAGATCAGATCAGTATTAACTTTCAAATGATAAAAAATTTATGTTTAAATAAATATTTATATTTGATTACAAACTGGTTCTTAATTTTTTTTTTAAACAAATAAAACATAAAGATTTATTATAACATTATATATTTATTTACAGAGTTGTTTACATAGTAAAATTATTTATATATCAAGTTGTTTTGAAATTAAAAAAATACTCTAAATAATATAGAAACTGTCTTTGATAGATAATTAAAAAATTGTTTAAACATTATTCTATTAATTAATTTTATTTAGCCATTAAACAATATTTTAGGATAAAAAAGTAAAATAAGTTACTTTAAGTTTTAAAATAAATTCTTGATTATTTCAAAGGTAATATAAATTTAAAGTAGACTAACACTGAATAATTTTTTAAAATTTTTGACTTTTTAATTGATTTTTTTTATAAATTTACAACATTAATCGAAAATTCTTGATCCTGTTTAAGAGATTATATTTTAAACTACTTATAAGATTTAATTTAAAGTTTATATATAATCTTATAAGTAGTCTTATCAAATTATTAATAAAAGAATAATTTTACTGTAAAATTAGATAAATCTCATAATACAATATAAACTTAAACCTATTTAGAAGTATTACTAATTTTTGGCCATATGTCATAATGACGTGTAAATTGATGAATAATAATTAAAAAAAGCTAAAATGAAACTAGTTAAATTTGTTTAATGTAACAAATTAAACAAACAAATTCCTGTAAATAAAATAGGAAATTGAGTAAATTGAATACATCCATGGGGTTTTTAGGTATGATGAAAAATGAAAAGAAAATATTTTGGAATTTTATTATATTAATCTGGTTTAATATATTAAAATTTACTTTTAAAATCATAAAATTATATTGGCCAATTGTTAATTCTTGAGCGTTTGTGTTAATTATTTCAATTTACAAGTTGACTAGATTGTTTTTGCAGACTTTTCGATATTCGTCCAATGAAAAATTAACAAAAATAAAAATAATATTTGTAATAACAAAATAAGACTAGACGAAGAGATCAGTAACGCTAACTCGTTAAAACTTAAAAACATATTTAAATTAATTTTATTACTTAAAGTTGTATCATTAGGAATGATTTTGAATGTTTTTTGTCATTTATAAAAAAAAAAAAAATAAGAAAATATAGTGATTAGCAAAATCCAATATACAGAGAAAGTCTAATGAAATTAAAATATCAAAAATAACGTTTTTTGTTGCACGCTTAGTAAGGTAACATGGCGAAATGACTAGAAAATATAGAATGTTACTATGAGTGTGCTATGTTTCACACGGTTTATGTCTCTAAATCAATAGGGTCCAATCAACACTTAGGCACAATACCCTGAGAAGGACTTCTGCTGTTCAGCATAAAATATCCATTTGAAATTATAGTCATACAAATATAGCAAAGAAAAATTACTCTAAAAATAAACAAGAAAATCAATTAAATTAATCACATGTTTAGTTGTACTCTAACTCTTTGTGTTCTACTTTCTTGCTGGTTAGCAAAAACGGCCGACTTTTATGCAATGTCTAACCGTTATGCATTGTTGGTCACAATACTTCTGACTGATGATTACCCATGGTCTGTAAGCTAATCATTCCTCCGTCTTGGTGATTGGCCGCGGCTATTGCTTTGGGATCCTCGTCTTTCCACTTGTCCATAGAGCGCCGACGGGCGTTCATGAAGAAGTTACCCACCGTTGTTGGTTCTAGACCTAACTGACGTGCTATCGTCACCTGCATTTCCTTGGATGGCCTTTTTGTTTCCTGTAAATGAATCTTTGTTATTTAATGATTGTAGATTTATCATTGGTAGTTTGATAATTTCAATCTAAATTAAATTTGTATTATGATTGAGGAAAAGAAACGAAGTGATGATGTTAATCTATAAAAATTTTACAAACCTTAAAGATTGCTTGTAATGTTCGACGCTGAAGGTCTGTGAACACCAATCTGGGTTTTTTCGGAGTACTCGAATGTTCAGAAACTATAGTTTGGGTTTCTTCTTTTCGCTTACAAGGAGCTAAAACATAATTTTGATTTTAATTATAATTTCCAAAGAAAAATGTTTATATTCAAAATAAATTTAAACACGCTATAATTTTTTTTTTAACATAATACTTGATTTATATAAAAATTTAAATGTTTTTATTATTGATGTACACTTAATTAATATAATGAACGGATTGTTGAGAATAAAGACAAAATCAAACGATATTTACGACTGTATTGCGTCATGGATATGACGTAATATAAATCTTTTAAGGCATTGACCATAGAGTTCCTATTTTTCATGGAGTTTTATGGAATTCAATACTAAATCTCTGAGTAAAAATAGTAGGAGTATCAACTTTTTCAAAAAATTATAATTTATATATATGTACAAGGTGATAGGTTTATCATAAAGCATTCGATTGCTCCCAAAATAAATACAATGTAGGAAAAACAGTTTTTAATTTCTTTTAGTTACATATAATTCTTGATTTATCAGTTAATAATTACTTTTTAAAATCATTCTTTATATCTTAAAGGGGTATCACCTTTATTTTTTTTTTTTATGATAGCATACATAATTAGCTAATGAAAAAGAAAATTATGTAATTAAGAAAATGACTGACCGATAATAACTTTTGGACCAGTATTTCACATGTTACACTAATTTTTTTTTATCTAGGCGGGACAAAGAGTACAGCTGGGAAATGACTCGTGATATAGTAGCAGCACATACTCTTCACCTCCAGACATTACTTTAAATTGTTAATAACTTTTGAATTACTGGTTCAAAAGTTGTTATCAACCAATTAATTTTTTAATTAGATCATTTTCTATTTTATGAGTGAGTTAAATATGTATGTTGACATTTAAAAAAATTATGTTTACATCCCTTTAATTTACAAGAGATAATTCTAAAAAGTAATTATTAACAGAATAATCATGAATTATATGTAATTAAAAGATATCAAAAATCATTTTTCCAATATTCTATTTATTTTGCAATTAATCGAGTGGATTATGATAAATTGGCCACCTNTTCCTGACTTACTGAACACCCTGTATAATTATTATTATTATTTTATTAATTAAAGCAACATACTATGTGTATAATATGTAATTATACAAAAATTATCAATGTAATTTAATATTATCATTTTTTAAATCTAAATTCATTAATTAATATTATTTTCTAGTGTGTTCAATCAATTTTTTACAATCAATGTGTAGAATAAAAATAATAAAATTAAATCTAATGTGGATAAAAATTTTACTTACCCATAGTGTAACTACCCACATTTGATGTTGGACCGTTTTGCAGACCATTTTCTGACATTAACATACCTGTATAATAAACAAACGAATGTTTATAATTTTTTTTTTTTTTTGACAGCTTAAAAGAGAGTATATATATATATATTTTGCTAAGAATTAAAATGAAAAGTAAATCATTTAGTACTAAAATTAATTTTATAAATTAATAGATGGTTACGTCCAACGATCTTCTAAATGAACTTTGTTTTTATATAGAAGACGAGATTTTATTTAATATTTATAAAATTATTAGAATGAGAAGGAATAAAACCTGTAAGTTCTTATTAACTGAAGGAAAGGATCGACAAAATTTAAATATATTATACACTTGATAAATTAATGACAAATCATTATTTGAGATATTTATAATTTTAAAAACAACCTCAATAAAGAGTACTTAAATTGAAAGTAAAACATAAAAATTTAATGAATATAAACCTGTAAATTAATTAATTGATACGATGTATAATATATTTTTACTAGTTTAGTCCATATATCAATTTAAGCTAGTCGAATTATAATTTGAGTAAGTATATGTAAATTTCAAGTTTAGTTGAATTCAGTGATTGGCATTTCCTTAGGAGATAAGAGAAAAGTTTATAAGAAGTATCCGTCAATAATTAAATTAACTAAACTTTTGGCCAATTTTACCGTAAGTCCAATCCAAATTTATTAATGATTATGATTGAGTTAAAAAAACAGTCTTAATTCAATAAAAAAGACCTTTTAATCTATTAAAAGTTTTTTTTTATACGATGAATATAAATAAGATTTAAAATGTATTCGATAATACTGTTTTACGCAATAAAATCTGAGGGAATTCAAATAACACATACTAAATAGTTAGTCAAGTATTAACTATGTGTACATTAATTAGGGTTGTATAACTGAAATTGCATATTAAACCGATATTGATTTAAATTAAAAATGTGTATTTAGTTTACAATATTGTATTACTCATATTTATAATCAGTTATTTTTTTAGAAGCCATTAGATCTATTAATATGTTTCCTATTCTCATCCATATATTGCTTACTATATAACACGTATATGTATGAAGCCATACAACACTAAGTTAATTGTTTGTATTTCACATGCTATGAAAATAAATAAGATATTAAATTGGTCATTTTGTGATTTTACAGGATTCTGACAAGTTTGAGAATAATTTTTTTTATATTATAGGTTTAAAATTCATTTAATTATAACATTTTAAAGCAGTATATGTAAAAATGAGCACAGGAGTTTTATTTGTTATAAAATTATATTATAAAAGTCTATATTTTCAACGCTCTATAAAAAGGAATAACATTTTCACGTTGACATTTATCATAACTAAAAATAAATCACTTAACTTTCTTTGTTTTTTAATTTTATTATAATTATTTTATTCTCGGGAATCTTGATTGATAAAAATTAAGATCTATATACTAGTAGCGCAACAAGAACAAAAATCAAGGAGGTACTAAAATTATGTGTGACTCACAAAACATTATGGAGCTCCACCCCCACGCTACCCAATCAACCACATTAATATATATGATTTTTCCTTTATACCAAAAATTTAACTTTTAATGAAAAAGCAACTTAATTTCACGGTTTTAGACTCCTAATCTAATTAAAACTAAAAATAACATTTTACATCTTAGTTTAACTTGTTTGAGGAAAGCAACAAATGTAAACAACTTTTTAAAATTTTAAAAAATAAATATAATTAAACCTTTATTTTAATTCAAATTTAGTGTCTTAAATTATGAAATAAATATATTCCAAAATTGAGATTTTTACGAAACTATTTCTATTTTTTTTTTTTTTTTT